AGAGCAAAAGTAACAACTCATGGGTTGAGATAAGAACAGTTTAATAATTGAAATATACTACTACTACTACTACTACTACTACTACTACTACTACTACTGATCATCATCAATGAAAAGGAGAGCAACAAGGGAGAGAGAGAAAACCCATGAAAAACAAGTGATGCACTCACCACCCACTGACTGATGCCCAGCCAGTCCCTGAGCAGCAATCACTGTCCCCTGGCCAACTCCACCCAGATTATATACTGAGCATGACATCATATGTTGTGGAATATCCCTTTGGCCAGTTTGGATCAGCCGCCTTTGCTGTGCCCCCTCCCAGTTTCTTGTGCACCAGGCAGAGCATGGGAAGCTGAAAAAGTCCTTGACTAGCGTAAACAGTACTTAACAACAACTAAAACATCAGCGTGTTATCAACATTATTCTCATAGAAAATCCAAAACACAGCACTATGCCTGGTACTAGGAAGAAAATTACCTCTATCCCAGCTGAAACCAGGACAGGAAGCCATCTGAGATTCAAAACCATCCTTCATATCCCTGAAAAGAAGAATCTAGTCCTACTTTAGACACGTGGGAATATCTGGGCCATCTGACTGTGTCAGAAGGTTATGACAAAAGATTTACACGAGATCTGGAGCCTGCTGGAGCAGTGGCTAGGCTGGCTAGAATATCCCCAGGCATGTAAAAAGGCACACAATGCTGACAGTTGGTCAAATGCACCCCAGTTCCATCAGCATGTCAGCTTCAGAGTTCCTGAGGGGAGCCTCAGCACACCATCCTGAAGAATCTAGCTCATTTTAGTCCCCTTTGTCCCCTACCTGAGAACCAACCTCACTGTCTAGTCGCAACCCCATCCCAAGTTTGGAGCCCAAAAAACCACTTGCACAGAAAGTTGTTTTTTTGCCTCTGTCATCACCAGCAGAGATCATGGGCACAGGCCCACGGTGTTTGAAAGGCTTCTCACATATTTCCTCATGCTACACCTTCAGGTCCACCTCCACCTCCACCAGCACACTAGTCTTCATCAGTGTCACCTATGTCCAGCCCCAGCCAGCCACTTTGCATATAGTTCCTGGTTCCACAGCCTCATTGTGACTTGACAGGGGGATACGACTCACTTCCTTAGTCAGCTTGGCCCTTGGCTTCAGCTGCCAAGCAGAGAGCAGGCAAAGGAATGGGAACAAGTTCATGGGGTAGGGGAAGTGAGCAGGGGAAGATCCCTCAGATGGCAAGGATGTGGGGGAGCAGCATGATGTCATTTACAAGAGTAGCCCCTGAATAGTTGGGATGGATGACCCAGTGGCCAGCGTGGAACTTCTGCTGGCTCAGCTCCTTCCTATTTACATTGCGGGCTCCCAGGGTCATGGTGATACTTGCTTTCCTGCCAGAAAGCACCAACATATTCCAGCCACACTGACCACAGCCACAGAGCCGCCATGTCAGGTAGTTTGAGGGAGGTGGTGGGTGCGATATGCCTCCCCAGAGATTAGTTCTCAGCAAGTTGCCTTCTGTAACTTGGGTTCCTTCCACATTCAGCTGAACATCCCTTCCCGCATGCTGATGTAGGTCTGAGGTGTCACATTCTGAAGACAAAAAGCAAGCAGGGAATGGGAGACACTGGCCTCTCCTCTCCAACAGTAGCTCTGAGCCATGGAATGAACCATGGACCAGGAGACCTCTGCAGAGGAGTTCTGTCCCCAGGGGCACACAGCCCCTGGCAGACGATTCCTGCAACTCACAGGGGATGGCCCGACTCACAGAGAGCCCTGCTGTGCCTGAAGAGACACAGAGTACTCTTTCACCCCAGACTGGGCCTCTGGCTTTTCATGACTCTGTGAGACTTGAAAAAAATCCCATGTACAAGAAAGGCAGGGCCTTACATTTTTCCAGCCACACAGTGAGCTGCTGAGAGCACTGCATCTTGGCGAATCAGGAATCCTCCACATGCAGATTCATGTGACACATTTTGAATTAATAAATGAGCCATATAGGGCCAAGAGTAGGGTGTAGCTTCCAATCTGCCAATGATCTTTCCTGGAAGAGGAATGAGAAGTGTGAATATCATATACACCTCTACTTCCCATCAAGTTCAGAGCTGCATGTGGAGAGAGGGTCATGCTCTGATATGCCAATGATGCCAGTAACTCTCCTTCCTTGGGCTCTCCAAAGCATTGCTTATGCACAATGGAGGGAAAACCAAGCAACACTTCCTGGGGATGACTGACCACTCCTGACTCTAGGTGGCTGAAATGCTTTCATAGGGCACTACATTACTACCTGTAATGTATCACTGGTGTCAGGCACAGTCTGAGCTGAGATGTGACTAGAGTAGAGAGTAGAGACATGAGAAAAGGCAAGGCAGGTACCAGACAGATTTTCTACTCAGTGCCCATTTCTGCCCTTGCATGTCCTCCTCAGCCCCAGCCGATGGGGCAAGGAGGAAAGCACTTGCAAGCAGAAGAAGCAGCATCTTCTACCACTGTTCTGAAGAGCCAAAACAGTTGTTATGGCCAAGCAGGAGACAGGTACAGAATGGCAACCTATATGTACAAAGTTTGGAGCTCAAATGGGAAACCTCAGCCTGCTTTCAGCTTCTGTCATTTGCTGCTTTTGTTCTTACAAACCCCAGACTGTGGTTTGGTGAGGGGTTCATGTCGCAGTCATGTCACCAAAACATGGTGACATGTTTTTGTCACCATCTCATCCAAAAGCTGGAGAGATCTGGGCTTGTTCAGAGCACCTGGAGTGCCCAGTACCCAGGCAACAGCGAGAAGAGTGGGATATGTCCAGTCAAGTGCATATCTCATTGGAGACCCTTGGCAAGAGCCTCCTTGGATCCTAGATATGGGTTGGGTTGTCTTGGTTTGGTTTTTTTTCTTTTTCTTTTTTTTTGCTGTCTCCTGATAGGAACAGCAAGAACTGAACCAGGCAGAGGTCCTGGTTCTTAGAGGGGCTGACTGCCATCAGAGGTATCCTTGGGATACCAGAAATCACCTGTCAGAGTAGCTAAGGCACAGGACCTACTGGAGACTCACAGCCTCCAGCACTAGTGTTCTAGATGATCAAACAAGTCCATAGTGATGAGGAAAGTCTGAGGTCAAGCTGAGAAGTCAGTCCATGGGCCCAGGTCCAGATCAGCAGGTTACATGGCCAGGTGCAGGCATGGCTGAGACACAGCTGGAGCTGGAGCTCAGGTGGGGACGAGAGTCAGACTCTCCTCTTCAAAGCAACTCCCATGAGAAGGGGAGCAGTCCTGGCTGAGGCCTCTCGGAAGTCCTCCCTGGGAGCATTGGCTCCAGTGTTAGTAGAGGGAAGGGTCACAGCCCTCAGTTGCACTGCTCTAATTTGCCCGTGAGCCTAGACAGTCAAACCTCTGGGATGGAGAATGCAATTAAGGCGCTGACATTGAGCATGGAGACTAGACAGCAACTGATACCAATGCTTCAATTTTCATGGTGAAGAAGCTTTTTCTTACACATAGCTTGAATCTCTTTTATTTAATTATCTTTTTTTTTAGTGTCTATCCATTATGGTTACCTCTCATGCTCCCAGCACTTGCTGCTGTGAAGAGCCTGGTTCCTTCTTCCTGATGGTTGCTTGCAGGTATTAGAAAGCTGCTGTTAGGTCCCCCAAGCCCTCCTCTTCTATCTGAATGAGTCCAGTTCCTTGAACCTCTCCTCAGTGTAGACCCCTATGGTACTCCACTTATTACAGGCCTCCAGGTAGAGTATGGCCTATTAAGCAGCACCACCACCACTCTCTGAGCCTGATCATCCAACCTGGTTGTGTCCATCCAGTTGTCCACTCGCTCAGATCATAACATCCTAACCTAGATAGAAGAATATACTGGGAGACAATGTCAAAAGCCTTGCTAAAGTCAAGGCAAATGATACTCACTACTCCCCCACATTCATAATTCCAGTCATTTTATTACAGAAGGCAATCACATTGGTCAGGTCTGGTTTACCCTTGGTAAATGCATGCTGATTGTTCCAATTCCCTTCCTCTCCTTCACATGCACTGACGGGCATTATGAGGGGACATGCTCCATGATTCTTCCAGACTTCTTAGAAAATATCTGCTTCTCCTGTTTGTTAGATTTCACCTTTCACATATTTATTCTTCCAGAGCCTGCCAGCATGACATCTAATCTGAGTTAATCTGCTTCCTCAAAGTTTTTTAACCATGCAATTTCCACCCCACCGAGAGATAAAGCAGAAGGCTGTAAACCACTTTGCTTTCTGTGACGTGTGAGATGGTGTTATTGGAGGAGCACAGACCTAAACTGAGGAGACATTTCAGACAACACCAAGCTGTGGAACTAAATGATAATAAACACTTGAGCAAACTCCCACCCCTCTTCAGTATTCTGATGTTTCCAGGAAAGAGCTGATGTTCTCAGCAATTCCTCTCTTGGCTGGTAACTTAAAAAACTGTAAAGGAAGAGACCGTGTCTTCTCTGTGCCCATGAGGAGCTTTTCTGAGTATAAGACAAAGTAATACTCCTAGATCCCCTCCAGCACAGCTTTGTATCCTAGAATTCTTGGGAAACACTTGAAATTACAACCCCAAGTTCCCCTTCTCTGGCTGCTTGGAAAAATCTGAAATACTGGTAAGAAACTAACAACACAAAGGCATTGGAGCCAAGAAGTGACAACCAGAATGGTGAGATAAGGGTGCATGAGCAAAACCCCAGGCTGGTGCATGAAGAAATCACAGCCTTTAGTATCACTGACAATAAAATCAAACATCCTAAGCCAGAAGATATCGTGTAAGGCTTGTGACCTCTTGAATGGGCCTGTGCAACCACGCTACTTAACACACAGGCTGGGACATGTCTGGGCCCTCCCTGGTGGAGCCATTGTAGAACTATTGTTCTGTGCACCCATGTATTTTTCTGCTCAAAATATCAGAAGGGTCAGAGTGGACATGCTTGTGTTGCAGCTTACCAGAGCAATGTTTTTAAAGGTGAGCACTGAGAACGTGTACTGCCTCTCTTGGGATGTGTCAGGAGGCATATGGGAGGTGAGTGAGGCCTCAAGACCCACTCAGACAGTCACAAAGGGCTGTGAAAAGCAGAGACACACAAACCTGAGCCATCCCATTCACACCAACTGCCTGGAGGCCTCCTTGGAACTGACTGCTCGGAGACTCACAGGGAAATCTCAGCTTGGAGGGTACCTGGTTGATTTGCTGTAAAGCACAGACTGAGCCTGCACCCATGCTTTGTGGGTACTCAGAGGACCAGAACCTGGGCATGAACTGGAGGTTAACTTTCACAAAAATGAAGACGCATCGTCTGTCCCTTGCCATGAGTGGAGTAGAGTATACCGGAGGTAGATGACTTTTGAAAGACTGAACTTCAGCAGGGTGAATCCAGGCACATCCTTCCACTGCTGCAAATGAATTGAAAGGCAAGTGGTCATTAGAAGTACTGACTGAGGACAGGACCCCTTTAACAAGCTGAGGGAGTGCATCTGACACACAGCAGAGGCAGAGACTTCCTCCCCTTCTTGTGATCAGAAGGGAAAGTTTCACTCCTAGTGCCTGTGAGTGGTGGAGCAGTGAGTAGCTTTGGCAGAGGTTAGAGGTGAGAGACTGAGAAGACAGTGCTCCGACTGGGACTCCAGGTCTTGCTGCTCCTGCTTCTTTCCCCAGCTGGTGCGAAATCCACTGCTGCTTCTGAGACAGACAACAGAGTTGTTTTGCAATGTCGCTTTCTGGTGAAAGAAATGTAAAACTTGAGAGCTCATCTAGACACAAGCTGAGGCTTACAATGAGAACAGAAATACCTCCCTTTTCTTTAAGATAAAGCGTGACCTTGTCATCTGGCATAGCTCTTTCACTAGAAGCACCATCCTGGCTGCAGCACAGTGCCTTTAATCATTGAAATGCCACCAGTTTCTTTATACTTCACACTTGTCCAGGCCGCTGCCTTTCCAGGGACTGCAGGGGGTCTGGCTCCCCTACTCAGGCAGAGGACCTGCATCCAGTCATGCCCACAACAAGCCCCTCACCAAACCATTGAATTCAAACTTCAAAGTCACAGAGCTGCAGTGGTACCTTCGTTGAAGGAAATCACAGGAGCTGGAAAATTAGGACATCTGTTGGACTCTCATTCTCTCTAAAATGTGAGAGCTCAGCCAGGTGGCCTCCCAGGTTTCCATGCAGCATTAACTGTTAGGATTGGGGATATATGGAGGAGAGAGAAGGGTCCTTCCACTAGGTCTCTGTGTCTTGGCTTTGGGCTTTGTCTGAGAAGCAGGAGTCACCATCTTTCAACAACAATACAACTGATGGCTAAGCTGAGAAGCCAGCTCTGGCCTGTAGTTTCTCTCAGATGACTTTGTGTTTGATTCTGACCCCTTGCTGGCTGAGGAACTTTTCTACCTGTAGGCTGAAGGGACTTCTTATGGGATGCCAGGAGCAGCATTTTGGGATTGTACAAAACATACTATGGGATGTTGAAAACAAGGGTCAAAGGTGGGGAAAGGGAAGGACCAAGGTGGCCTGAGGAGAAAAGTGTGTGGTAAAGCGGGGATGAGAGGATAAAAGGAGCTGTTCATGTATAAACAGGCAGCTGGTTGGTACAATTGGCTGGCCATGTGCTTTGCCTGACCTTGTCTTGTCTTCTCATGAAACTCCATCTCTCTAGTTATGTTGAGAATGAGTTCTCTAAACTCCAAGCCCATGAGAAGAGCTGGAACCATGATTCTGTTGCAGTACTGTGCAAACCGACAGACCACGTATACATGCTGCGCGAGATTTGCTTCCATCCCTCCCTCCCCCAGCACTAGACTGCAAGGCTCATTCAGACAGCCACCCTCCTTGCCTCAGACATATTTACTTTTCCTGGAAGAATGTCAGCCTCTTCCTTTCAGCATTTAGAATGATTTCCACAGCCTTTCACATTCTTTTGGTGTTTGTATCCAAAGTGAGAGCTCAAGCTCTATGTTGATTTTAAAGTTTTTGTGTTTTCTGCCTGGGTGTGAAACCAAAGAGGCACCAATTCAGTGTGAAACCTGAAGCATGAT